GCAGCCTCACCATGCACCTTCTGCCTAAATAAGACGCGGCGGATAGAGAGATTAAGGAAAGGATATTCCTTGCAGGGAACTGGGCTTCTCTGCTTGTGGAGTAGAGAGGAGAGCTTAACCTTCCCTTAAGCAAGGGAATCATGCAGTCTATTGAGTGCAGAGGACACAGAGACAGGTGGTTCACCCACCTCTCAATAGTCTAAAGATGAGACCTGGGGTGGGCTAGCTGCTCCTTGGTGGCAGAGCTTAGTGTGGTAACCACCCTGGAAGTGAGGTCACTGTGTTACAGAGGCAGCACTGCGAGACTTTTTCCTCCATTTAGTTACATACACACAGAGGGAACAGCCAGAGGCTGTCACAGGATAGATGCCACCAAGAGGACCACCCAGAAGGGCAAAGAGAACCCAGCATAGCCTTGGGCACTTGGAGTCTTGGGGGTGGACCAGGATAAAGAGTAGCCTGATCTAGAAGGGAATGGCAGGGGTCTCAGCAGGTGGTCTGTAATGAACTCACAAAAACAAAGAGAGAGAGAGAGAGAGAGAAGGTGCACACAAACATTCCATCACACACCTGCTCCCTATAGCACACCAACTCTTAAGGGCAAAACGTCCCTGTAATTTTATTACAATCCCACTGTGGTGTGCATTTTAAAAATTATTTATTTACTCATTGTTTGCAGTGCTAGGGGTGGAACCCAGGCCTTATGCATGCTAGACTAGCACCCTAGCACTGAACCATATCCCCCAGACCTTGTTTTTTTGAGGAGTTACTAGTTGACCCCTCATTCACAATCCTCCTGCCTCAGCCTCCCAATTGCTGGAATTACAGATGTGCAGTACAATGCCTGGCTTAGTGGCCACTCTTATAACTAAATATTTTTGCCTTAGTATGCATTTCCAGAGTTGGAATTGTTGAGGACAAGGGTAAACAACTATTGCAGGTTTAATTCTTTAAGAGCTATCATCACAGTGCTCATTTATATCTGTTGATTTTCATGCACATTCTTGTAGCAGTTTTATCTTTCTTTCTCTGAAGACTTTTGAGTAACAGCCTCTAGAAGTGGATTTTTGTATGAGCTCACCATTTCCGGTCCAATCCCTTTTAATGCATTTTCTTGTTCATCAGATAAGCTGATATTTAAAATATATAAATCAGAGCCCCTTCATTATTTCTTTCTTTTGAATAAGGTGCAATCTCCTCTCTGTGCCCTGCAGGGATGAGGATTTTGCTCATTTTTACCTTCAGGACTACAATTTGTGTCATCTCCTCCTCTCTGGGTTTAAGAGGAACTACTCTGTCTGCAGCTACTTGAACTTGCCAAGCTCTGTCCTGCATCTCACGGCCTTCTGAAGAGCTGGAATGTTCCCCAACGCTCCACATAGCTGCTTCTCATCTTTCCTATGTTAGCTTAAAGGTCCCTCCCTCTGAGAAGTCATGCCTGCCTCTCTTATCTGAAACACCTTCTTATTTCCCCCCACGTGGCACACCAGTATTTTCCATCTTGTGGCCACCTATAACTATTCAAATGTTTCATTTACTTGTTTGTTTGTCTCTCTCCAACTGGGATATAAACTTCATGGGACTGGAACCACACTTATCTGCTTGCATGCGTGTGTGTGTGTGTGTGTACATGTGTGTGTGTGAGTGAAAGCTCATGGTGGATATGCCCTGCCCACAGCGGGTTTTTGATAAACTTTTGTTGAATGCAGGAAGGATGCAATGAATAACAAAACAGACCTGTTCCAGGTTTTCTCAACCTGATTGGGCATAGTGTCCAAGTCATCCTTTTTCTGGGTAAGGCTGGTAGAAGGAGACCTGGTGCAGAGCAACCACCCCCTCCTTGGTGACAGTCAAATCACTTTCATTAGCGCTGTGTCACCTTGCCAAAGGAAAGACATATGCTTCTGTGACACTCCCACTGAGAACAGCAGGCTGCAGGGCAAAGCTCAAGTTATTTTTGGTAAGGGTACTGGACCAATGCCATGCCAGCCTTGGCCTGGGTGCTTTGTGGCACTTGGTGGAAATACAGCCTCCTTTGGCAACCCTTGGGAGTTGATCATCTGCTCTGGAAAAGTGCACAAGCCTCTGAAATTCTGCACCTATGTTTCTTTCCTGAGTAGCTTGAGAATAAGTTGTTGATAATGGTAATTGGCTGAATGGAACGCAGTGCAGAGCAGGAGTAGCTTATGCATTTGAGCTCGGGTGAATTTCAGCTTTGAATGTGGTGGTCCAAGTAACACTGCCTTAATTGCTGGCTCTGCAATGCTATGGGTAGAAGGTTCTATTTTAGTGCATGGCATAGTTTTGCATCCTATCAACCAGCTGTCCATATAGGAGACTGCTACTGTCTGGATTCTCTTCTGAACACACACTCATTCCTTTTTAATTAATATTTTGATAATAAGGACAGTATCAGGGCCATGACCACCCTGAGGCAAGGGAATGAATTAAGGAAGCACACATTCTCAGCGTCATGCAAATATAAGCTCGGTATTCACACAGCCCAGATAGTGAGAGCCTGCTTGAGATTTATGCCCTTCTACCTCTCATATTCCCCACCCCCCAACCTCCTGGCCCAGTCCTGGGAAGTATGTTTTCTATAACCCTAACCAAATGGGCTCAAATAAACAATAAAAAACAAAAGTGACTGGAGTCACTGGGAAGTCCAAGGGGTCTTTCTAATTCCAGCATCATTGTAGCTCTAGGATTACATTCTCCTTGCTTGGCTTTATTCTCAATGGGGCTCTCATCTTGGAAAATGCCACAGGTATTTTTGGAATTTTCTTGAGTAATCTGGGATTACTTAATCAAGTCACAGCGGGCATTGTGCCTTAGACAGGACTCTTTTTGTGGCAAGTGTTAGAAATAAGACCCCTGAAGACCACCAGAGTCACAATTGAGTGCACAGAAATGGAGAATCACCTGGGCAAGGCAAAATTGACTGCTGCAGAAGGGTGTGCAGGCACATGGGCACAGCAAGCACGAGGAGTAGGCAGTCTGTCCTCTTTTTATTCCTAACAGTGGGTTTTGACCCTTTACTTGAATTGGTTGAGCTCAGGTTCACAATCTGCTCACCATTGGCTGAAATTTGACACAGGCTGGGGGTGGGGGGCTAACATTTGCACTTTGGCAGTGAGTTTGGCTGGCAAATGGGGCTTAACAAGAATTCTCAAGAAGAGCCCCAAACTGCAAGCAATTAAGATGACCACACACTTTGATAGAAAATACTGCTTCCCTCTCCCAAGTGACAGAATATCTTGATCTTGGGTGGTTTAAGCAGGAAAGGGAATTCCCTTGTGCGGTTAAGTGATGTCAAGTGGCACTGGTGCAGTAGGACTGACCCACCTATTATAAATTCTGCAGCGATAGACCCATGATCAACTGGAGATGCTAGGGTTTGTATATGAAGTGTCCTCTAAATAGTTCATGTGTTAAAGGCTTGTTCCCAGCTGGTGGATGCAATCATTGAGAGATGATTGGATCATGACGGTCTGACTTAATCAGTGGATTAATCCCCTGATGGATTTATAATTGGATGTCATTATTGGGAAGTGGTGGAAGCTGGGAGATGGAGCCTGGTTGGAGGAAGTAGGTCACTGGGAATGTATTCTTGGGAGCTGTATCCCCTCTGTTTCTCTGCTTCCTGGCCACCATGAGGTGAACAACTTTTATCTACCATGTCTTTTTACATGAGGCTCTGCCTCACGTCAGCCCAGAATGAAGCTGCTGACCATGAACTGAAACCTCTGAAAGCCTTTTTCCTTTTAAATTGTTTCAGGCATTTGTCTCAGCAACAAAAAGCTAGCTAATGCAGGAGACTATACTCTTCCTTCTCCTTGGAGCCAGATGTGGCCATGTGGCAAAAAAAAATTGGCCCATGGGATGCAAGAGAAAGGTGTTTGCAACATCTGGGTCACATTCAACCCTACCTGCTCTCTTTCCCTTTTCTGGGCTGTGGCAATAACTCGATTGCAGAATGTCAATCATGACATGAGGAGCCAGAGCTGACATAAGAGCGTGGTCTCTGGATGTCCTCATGGGACCAACCTTCCTACCTGACCAGGACAATCCTGGTCAGCCTGGATTGTTGTATAAAAAATAAGTAAGTTTTATGCAACTTCAGTCATTGCCTTTTGGGGTCTAATTGTTATAACAGCTTCATTTCCACTTTAATTGGGGGCCTAGATGAGGGATATCTGACAGTGTCATCAGGTTAAGGTCTGCTTCCCTTTAGTTCTTGGTTCTGCTTTTTTTGGATGCCCCACCCCCATAAGTCCTCCTCTGGGATCTCATGATGGTACCCATGGATCCTGGGCTTCTATCCAGGCTTCACTTCAGTCAACAGGGTGAGACTCTTTGTCCAAGGACTAAGTGAAAGTAACCAGTTAACTCCCAGGCAACCAGCTGAGGGCAAGTGCCCATGTCTGAACCAACCACGAATCTCCCCAACAAGGCAATTGCCAGGACTGTACACATGGGAGCAGGGACAGGGGTGCTCAACATGGAAACGGTCACCACTATTGGACAAAGGGAGACAGGAAGCCAAGGAAGCAAAGAGGAAGGTATACTACAAATGAGAAGTCATAAGTGTTGAAAACTGAATTACAAACAAGGATTGAAATAATCATTTTTTTGTCAGGCTTATCTCCAGAGAAACTAAATTGTGTGTGCCTCTGTCTCGTAGGATAGAGCTGAGCAAGGTGCGTGATGTGTGACTCCATAAGCATTCCTATATGTTGTATCTCTGTGGATGCCCCCTTTCCCTTGCCGTTGCCATTTTTATTATATGATTTGGAGAAGTGTAAGTGGTTCACCTATGAATAGCATGTCATGGTCCGTATATTTTGCATGTACGTTAGTTTGATTTTTACCAAGCAAAATCACATACTGGATTTAATCTAGTTTAATAATTTATGGATGTGTATTATACTAAACATTAACTGTCAAGGGATAGATTTCCCAGCCCATTTTTATCAATTATTATTTCTGTTATTGTGCCTTCAAGCTTCTTATGCCTTAATTTCTTTATTCCTTGTTTCTATGACACTATAGATTTGGTCTACAAATGATGTGTTGGACAAATACCTTCTATGAACAACTCTATTTCATGGCAGCTGTGGACAGTTTTCTTTCCTTCCTTCCTTCTTTCCTCCCTCCCTCCCTCTTTCCTTCCTTCCTTCCTAGTTCTTAACTTTCACAAAGAGCTCTCTGAATGATCTTACCATTTTCTCCTGTTTGGGTAAGAGATTAACTTAAAGTATCATTTTTATAGGATGGCAACATGAAGACAGAGAAGATGGATTATACGGAAAACAAGAGAACTCTCCCTGTCAGAATATTTGCATTTTGTCTGTCCCAATTTAGTCTCAGTTCTCCATTGACACATTCTTGGGTGATTCTCCTCTTTGACTAACATCCATCAAGCCAGAGTGACTAAAATGAGTATTCCCTTTGAGAAAGGCAAATTTCAGATAATCTTGGAGCTGAAAGGTCTCCCACGTCATTGAGTCAAACAATTCACTCCATGGATGAGTCCTTTTCTCAGTAGCCCTAGCAAAGGTCACCTGCAGAGACCAAGAATGGTCTAATTTCTGACATCCGCTCTGCACAAATGATTAGAAAGATCTTCCTGGAAGACCAGCTAGTAATCTCTCTTCCTTATGACATCAGCTCCTCCAAAGAGGCAGAGGATGCTGTTTTAGAACCAAGTTGTGTGTGTGTGTGGGGGGGAAAGGATCACACACACCTCCCTTCTGTCCTGGATTTGGTAATGAACAGTTGTGGAACAGTGGGCAAGTCCCAATCAGCTTTAGTTTGTGTGAAACATGGAGATAGTACCTCACCCACTCAGTCCTTAGCAATGCCCAGCAGATGTGCTCAGTGGGTCAGTTTGCTTCAGGAAGGTAACACAGTCAGGAACGCTGGGTGTCAATCTCCCCTCCCCCATCTTAATATGATAGGCGTGTTTACAGTACCCACTAGTGCTTATGAGGGTGAGCTCTCTTGTCAGGATCTGGAGGATTAAATAGATTTGGTATTTACACAAGGGTGCCCCACTTCAAAGGGGGCAAGGGAGTTTAACTATGTTAATCCATGCCAAGGGCTCAGAGCCTGGCACCCAGTGACCGGATAACCACTGGGAATTTACTGAGCACCTACTTAAGGTTGGGCTCTGGGGACACAGGTAGTAAAGAGGCCAAGTCTTAGCCTCTGGGAAATTTAAGAGTCTCACGGAATGGACAGACCCAAACACGAAAACATATGGCAACTAAAACCACCCAAGCCCGGACCCTGGATACCAGGGAAAACCCCAGGAAGGTCTGAGCTTAAGCCATGGACCATATCGCTCGTCTCATATGCCAAAGTCAAGGCAAACCAAGGTAATACGACCTCTTGGGATACATGCACCCCTACTCAAGTCTTTCTGGGAAAAGGATCAAGGATGAACGGAGAGGTTGGGGAGGCAGAGGCTGAAAAAGAGGGAAATTTCCTTTCCTTCCAAAAGAAGCCACTGCGCGACAGGAGAGCAAGCGTCCTCTCCGCCGGTGTCAGCTAGGTGCGGGGGTGGCCCTGGCGTGCAATGAAAGGGGAAGCTGTAAGAAAGGTGGGCGGGCGCCTCGGGGAGGGGTACGAGCCGATCCAGTGGGTCTGCTCCTGGGTGGCCACAGCGGGGTGCTGGGACCCGAGAGCTCCTCCCCCCCGACCCCCTCCCGCTTTTCTCCTCCTCTTCCTCCCCGCCCCCTCCCCCTGTGCTCCCCCTCCCCTCCTCCTGGGCCTGGAAGAGACTGGGCTGGCTCCTCAGCAGCGCCACTCCTCCTCCTGGCAGGCTGGTGTGGAGTCAGCTGACGCGGAGCTCCAGCCTCGCCTCCCCGCCCGCCGCGATCCCCCAAAGTGGCTGCAAGCTGGCCACCCACTTTCAGGATTCGGGGGACAGGGAAAGTGATGAGCGCCTTCTAACGCCTGGCCGAGCTGCAGCTCCAGCAACGTCACCTCCCTAACTTTCTCCCTCCGCCTCGCAACCCCCACCCTTTCTCTTGACTCTGTCCGCGACCCTCCCCAAAGCCACTTAGGGTGTGCGCGCCTGGGCCAGGGTGGTCGCTGGCTGTCTGGGATGGCTTCCAATTTTAATGACATCGTGAAGCAAGGGTACGTGAGGATCCGGAGCAGACGCCTAGGGGTAAGTATCGATCCGATTCTTTCTCTTTTTTCTGCTCACGCGTCCTGTGGTCTGGATCCTCTGCCAGCATCCCGGGAGGTGGACCGAGGTCCCCGGCCGCGCGCGCTGGGGAATTGCGCCGTGACTTTCGCAGCCCGCAGCAGAAATCCACATCTCTCGGGATTGCCGCGGTAAGGCCAGCGTCTAGGTACGCAATGGATCTATCTTTATCTCTCGGATGACTTGGCTTTCTCGTGGTGACCGTGTGTTCGGCTTCAGTAGCCACTGGAGCCCATCGACTCGGAATAAATATTTCCCGGTAGCCATGGGAGTTGGAGCTGAGCAGCGGGCGGGTGGGGAGTCTGACTGATGCCCCCCGGGCCCCTCGTCCCACTTGCCACAACTTAACTTTTCCAAGAGACAGATCGAGGCCGGGAACGAGGGCCCGAAGGTCTCGGTGGGAACAAGGTCAGTGACCCTGTGACCCCAGGGAGAGGTTTCTGCCAAGGGAACGGGAACAGCCTCTTCGGACTCCCGGTGTTGGACAGTGACCGCTCTGCCCCAGGTGTTGGCCCAGGCGGGTTGGGCTAGCCTGCGGGTAGATGTCCAAATCTGAATTTTCCCTCCTCCTTAATCTGGGCTGTGGATTTCCATTTTAGAGTCCACTCACAAACCCACTGGCAGATTGTTTGGTGTGGAACGGTACCTGACATTGAGAATTAAGTGCTTCATAAAAGTGAGCTGAAAAAAAGAATGAATGAATGTAAGGTATCTGGGGACCGATGTGGACACAGGATGGCTTCCTTTCTTAAAACTCCCTCTCTTTGCCACTTTCTCTCTTTGGTCTTGATTTGGGGGACCTAGGAGAGAATGGACCTGCCTATATTTGGGCTTAAGTGATTGGGGAAGAAATTCTTAAAAGGGGAGATACTGGAATGATTGCTTTTTTAAAATTTCAAACTACCTCATTTCTCCTTGCCTTGAATCAAATACTGTAGCTGTTTTCATTGATGATTTGCATTTCGGGGAGGAGGTGGGGTAGCAAAGTTTGCTTAGCCCAGTCTGAAGCAATATTGTCAGTGATGATGTGGAATGGCCTCACTGAGGGAGACTGATAAGTTGACTATCTTTATCTACAAATATATGTCATCTGGCACCTTTCCTTTATTAAGCTGTTGGACTTTTTTTTTTTTTTAATGTGCCAGGTAATTTTACTGAAAATTGAAAAGAAATTTATTTCATGGTAGTAAACCAAGCTAAGGACGAATGTCTGGTAGGGAGAAACGACTCTAATTATTATAAAACTCTTGCCTGATTCGTTTGGTGTTTTTCTTTCTTTCGTTTCCCCCTGCTGGTTACCATATTTTAGCAATTATGTCCTTTTAGCAATTATGCTTTGGGGAGTGTATAAATATATAATTAGAGAGAAATGTAACAGAACTAACCATCTCTATGAGTTTTGCAAAAGTTCATTGATTCTCTTCTCTGCCATGCAAGATCAACCCTTGCTGGGGTACTTAACCAAGGGACTCCCATGTAAAGGGCAAGGAATAATAGGAACTTTATATTTTTGATAACCTTATGGGCTGGTTGAGTATTGCAATTTTAAAGGAGCACTAAGAGCTTCATTCTGATTTTACACTTACCCCATCATGTCAATTGAGGGAATTGGCAGTGGACATTCATTCTCTGTTAGAGATCATTCCAACAAGAAATGACATACATTACTAATGCACAAAATATGAATTATTCATAAGGATCAGAGTTTATGCCAAATTGTGACGTGATAATTTATCAGAAAAACTGGTTACAATCACCTTTGAGTTTTGATAATTGAGACTTTTTTCTATGTTATTATAATTAACACGATATATTTTTATGTGTGTCAACATTTATGGGTAGAGATTTGAAGAGGAAGGAGAGGAAACATAGTTTAGTCTGCCTTTGTTTTATTTTGTATAGTATTTTGGGTTCTGAACTGTATACCTCCTCAAGACTGATTCATGTCTCTGACGATACATAGATATGAGAATATTCATTGAATTATGGTTATTGCTCATGGAGAGAAAAGATCAAAAATATGATCGAATGAATCTGGTCTTATTTGTTAACATTGTTTTTATCAATAGTTAGTATTTTAAAATGTTCTGGTGGAATACTTTACAGAAGAGGCTGATTACATAGTTGTTAGAGCACAATGCAAATTAAAGTTTTGGCAGACGCTGTTTTTTTTTTAATTTTTATTTTATTCATATGTGCATACATTGTTTGGGTCATTTCTCCCCCCTTTCCCCTGCCCTCTCCCTTCCCCTTCATTCTCTCCCTTACCCCCCCTTACCCCTTGCTACCAGGCAGAAACTATTCTGCCCTTATCTCTAATTTTGTTGAAGAGAGACTATAAGCAATAATAGGAAGGACCAAGGGTTTTTGCTAGTTGAGATAAGAATAGCTATACATTAATGGTGAAGTGGCTCAGTGAGATGACTAGGGACCTTCTGTCCAAAGTCAGGAATGCTATTGGCTTTAGTCTAGGCTACATATAGCCTAGAACAGCACCCGCCATGTATATATTCTAGGCGCTTGTGTAAGTCTTAGGGAGAGGTGGGCCAGTGTGCCTGCACACAGTAGGCATGCAGTAAGTGCATGTTGCATGCAGTAAGTGCATGTCACATACAGCGAACTATAGGCGTGACCTTGCAATTCGTAACCCTCTTTAGGCACTAAAGTGACTGTAGTTTTATTAGTCAAATCCAGACAAGCTTCTGTGGACTGCAAACCATGTTTGGAGGGTTTATAATTAACTAAGAAAACAGCATTTCATGGTAAGCAGTTGTTGTGTCAGGAATGCTCTGTCGGGTTTGGAACAAGAGGAAATGGGAAGAAGTTCTGCTTGTATTACTTGTTAGTCCTGTGACCCTGACCCTTGACCTTCACTGGTCTCAGTTTTCTAATCCAAACAGTGAATACTATTTAATGGTGTTTTTGGGAGCATTCAATAAAATAATAGATAGCTATGAACAAGCACTGGAAGTATAGAGCACTGATTCTGATTATATTATTGTTTTTAATATAATAAAGATGAGTTAGCATTGGTGGAAGTTTATAGGGTTATTGATTTCCTTGTCTTTCTATTTGGCAGTGCCCGGAGGCATGCTTTTTATTATTTGAGTTTATTTTAACTGATACAGGAAAATTGTTCATATTTGTGGGACAGGAAGTACTCTGGGAACAGCCTCACTCAAATGGATCACAGATACATGTCATATTTAATTGAGATCCTAAATTTTGTAAGTGATAAGTGAATCACATATGCAGAAACTGATTCTTTTCTTTAAACATCCAAAAGCTTAATGAAACCCAACTAATTTAATCAGAGGCCTCAGTGTCTGCAGCTCTATTTTCTCTACCTTAGTCTGCATTGGCTCATGGAGGTCTCAGGCTGTGCCCTGGGTACAATATTTGTTCTGGAATGTTGAAGTCACTATTTGGGGAGCTGATGGAGACTGGAGGGGAGCAGCTTTCTATAATTATCTAATTCTCCAAAGACACTAAAACTTTCTGCTTAGATGAGTGGTGCAACAGGTGGTTCACACATCGTTAACCTGCTGAGTGTGTTATTTAGATGGATGGTCTTAACAGTCTTCACGTAGCTTCTTCCCTTGCAACGGAGAGAATTTTCCCATTGCTTGGGCTGGTCCACAGTGCAAACCTCGCTGCTTAAACTCAGGCCTATTGTCTTTATCTATACACAATCCTCAGTTACTTGTCTTTCAGTAACCTTTCTCTGTACTTGTCTATTAAGAATTATCAGCTTGGTACACTGAAACTCCACTACTCTAGCAAATTCTGCTGTCTACCCCAGGAATCCACTTGGATGTCTAACTGAGCCTTAGACTTAATGCATCCAAATCCTTCATTGTTTCATTCCTACTTGCTTCTCCTAGAGTCATCTCCACCTATGCCACTAGAAGTCCCAAAGTTTTCATTGCCCAGGTCAAAACTCAATCATCAAGCAGGCAAGTAAGCAAAAAATCTTGGTGTCATTTCTCTTCTCCCCAAATCATGTACTACCTAACCCTACCACCCCTCCATGTATTAGTCTGGATATTTTATTTATTTGTTTATTGCCTGTATATCCCATTGACCATGTGAGTCTCCTGAGCCCTGGGATTTCTCTTTCCCTTCATCATACCGCCTACAGCAGAGCACTAGAGTGGGCACCTGATGACGATTGTGGAGTGAGAGAATGAAGGAAGGACTCCACCACTATGCAGTGTTTAAGAGCACAGGCTCTGATGGAAGACTGCATTGAACTCCTAACTCAGTGACTCGGCACATGACTTCTTGAATTTTTAAATATTTTCAACCTCAGTCTTCTGTAAAAGTATTCACAATGCCCACTTAATACATGGTCGTCATAGGGGCCACCATAATGGTTGACATTATTGGCAGCCAAAGCACAGTTAATATTCATTTGTTCTTGGCTCTCACTCCTACTACAGTAGCTTCTACTGCAGTAACTCTTATCCTCAAAGAGATTGCTGTATAGTTAGGAAACCCAGCTTACCATCTGTGAAAGAATTTATGTAGGAGCAAATATATGGCGTGCCCTTCATGTTAGGTGTAGAAGGAATGCTTGACTTTATAAGATTTTCCACACTCCTTACATAAATGGTGGTGATGCCCAGTAAGCAGATGCACGACCCCACAGAATTGCAACTTGAATGAACACACTGGTTGAGGAGGTACTTCTCCTTAGTTTGGGGGCCTTTCTCTTGGATGAGTGGCAGAGAATAGATTTGAAAATGCTCAGTTAAGGACCAGATTTGAGAAAGAACATTTTCTAACTCTTTGATTTCCTGTTTAACCTGGCCAAGTTTGCCAGAGAAGTTTTAGTATTTCATTTGGGATTTTTTTTATTTCAATGTTCAGGAATCTATACACCTTATTTATGATAAGTGAAATCTATACACCTTATTTATAATATGTGAAAGTCATAGAAACAGAATTGGATCTTTATA